TAAAAAGCAAGCTAAATACCTGTCTTTTTTTGTGGGCAGGTAAGCATCCAGTTGTCCATTCTATCCAGGATAAGCATTCCATATAATTTCAGGGATGTTATTTATTTTCCCTTAATCTTATGAGGTTTCAAAATTGGTTTTTAGGTTATCTTCCCCCCCAGTAAGAATAGGTACTAGGACACTTTTGTTAATGAGTGCTCACTAATCAAGCCTTCACATGTTCAGAGAACAGTTGTCAATGGCCCTGGACTTTGCGCAGATGTTTTCTCACAGTGTCATGGATGGCGAATCTTGTGAGTGACTAGGTAAGCTCTTCTGCTTTTCACTGTTGATACCACTTGCTCTCCAAACTTCCTGCTAGCCTGGACAGGGGACCGAGGCTTCAGTCATGAAGGGTGCACTTTGTTTCGCTTCACTGATTGGTTCTTTCTTTGTCTTGGGGCTCCACGTGAATCTAGGAGATGATCTGGGGGTTAAGGAATGAAACAACAGGAAAATCTTATGTGGGGAAAGTTTTGTGAGGCACACCCAGGACGCCATTCAGTTCAGTCCACAGAAGCAAAATCCTCCTACATTTTAGTTCCTTTCCAGAGCCTCTCATAAATATCCCACCCACCCCTTAGCCCACAGAAATGAAATTTTGCTTTCAAAAGTTGCCAAGACATTAGTGGTGTTGCTAAGTGTTCTGTGTGTGTCTCCGCTTTGGTGTCATGGTGCTAACGGAGCTTGAGGGGATGTCTCTGGCAATCAGAGCTTTCACTGGCAGGATTCTCTGCACTCCAGCCAAGGACATTTTTCCTTCCTTTTTGTCTCCTGCTTGGGTGAATGGAACAGTCAAAACAGAAGTTGGATATTTGTTTCCTTTCTGCCAGTACTGTCCCCTAGGACCAAGACCTAACCTGACCTTTTTACATCAGTCTGTCATAAAATGTCATGGGGTTGAAATAAAACCTGCGAAGGTCAGTCTGCCCTGGTTCTCCTTCCCTTCTTTGGCGCTGGGAAGGAGCTGTTGTTCTCTAAGCTGCCTTAGAAGGAACGTAAACTCATCACAAGGTCTGGACCAGATCTGCTGTGTCAGGATGAATGACCTTGGGCAGGTCCTTTCATTTCTCATAACTGTAGTTTGCTCATCTGAAAAATGAGACTCATAGGGAAAAACCCCACTATAATTGCTGTAAAAACCTAATTACAGTGTGTATTTGAATGTACTTTGTAAACTTTGAAGGTTGATTCAGGGTTCCTCATTACTGTCTGTGTTGAATAGCTTTAGTGTCAACTTGACACACCTGGGTTGAGGGAGCCTCAGTTGGAGAATTGCCTCTATTGGACTGGCCTGTGGCCATGTCTGAGGGGCATCTTCTTGATAAGTGATGTAGGAGGGCCCAGCCCACTGTGGGTGGTGCCACCCCTGGGCAAGTGGGCCTGTGTTGCATAAGAAAGCAGGCTGAGTAAGGGCCAGGGGAGCAAGCTAGTAAGCAGAGTTCCTCCATGGCCTGTGCTCCAGCTCCTGCCTCCAAGTTCCTGCCCTGAGTTCCTACCTTGGGCTCCCTGATGAACTGCAACCTGGGAGATGTAAGCTGAATAAACCCTTTCCTCCCCAAGTTGGTAGTGGTCAGAGTGTTTTGTCATAGCAATGAAGAAACAAACTAAGACACTGTTAATTAGTAATTTTAAAGTCTTTAAAATTTGCAAATTTGGAAAGCATTCTGCTACTTCCCAGGGGAGTCATAAATCCTCAAGTGATTGGTGATTACTAAAACCTGTGATTGGCAGGTCCTAAGACTTGTGAAGCCTCTTGTGATTGGTGACTTTTAGAACCTCCTGTGAAGTACTGGGTAGCTGTTAGGCCAG